TCTAGTACCCCCAAAAGTTTCCTAATATCATTAGAATCAACCTTTTCTTTATCCTTTGAAACCACTGATGTATATTCTGTCCCTTGATTTTTGCCTTTTCTAACATATAAGTGGAATGGCACAATAGGTAGCTCTTTGAATCTAGTTTCTTTCTCTTATATAAAATATTTGATATTCATCCTTATAATTATATGTGTCAGCTGTTTACTCCTTATTATTGCTAAGTAGCATACCAGCGTAAGACTTTACCATATTTTGTTTAGTCACCAGCTAAACATTTGGGTTGTTTCCAGTTGGGACTATTATGAATAAAGTCATAGTAGTGGGATCATGTTGTAAGAAAATCCCAAAGTTTTCCAAATTGCTGTACCATTTCAGATTCCTACCAGCAATGCAAACAGAGTTTCTCTTGCTCTGTATTTTTGTTAGTGCTTGGTATTAGCTTTTTCTTTACTTATAGTGAAGTTCTCTCTCTTAAGTGAAACAAAAGGTAGCGTAAGACTTTCTCAGTATATTGAATTACTGAGGAAAGTTTAAGCAACTTAACTTCTCTTTCTCTTAAAACCCACAAGCAATCCATCAGGAAATTCTATTGACCTTACATTGAAAATCATTACCCATGACCTAATCACTTTCTCCCATCTTTGTAGCTGTCTTCTGATCTGAGTCTCTGCAACTTACCTGACTACTGCAGCAGCTTCCTTACAGTTGCTTCTACTCCTCAGTAGCAGTTACAGATCTCCTTGCTGGCCCAGGAACAACCCAGGCACATTCCCCCTGGTATTTTCTGCTCTAACTGCTCCCCTATTTGACAAACAACTCTTCTCCAAGTCTTTGTTCCAATTTCATCTTCTCTATGAGGGATACCTGATGAACATGCAATCTACTCTTTGCTTCTCCTAAGCTTGATCTATTTCTTCTCCATACTACTACCTTCTAACTCACTTCTATTTACTTACTTATCATGTTTAGTACTTATGGACTGTTTCCCAACCCTCTCCGATCCCATTAGAGGAATCTTTTCTTTTACATACTCATGCATTCTCACACAGTGCCTGAAATGTAGGTATACAATAAATAGTTGCTGAGTGAATGAACTGAAACACTGGCGCAGTAATCTAAAATAGTCCCAACTGGAAGAGTTGTGTAAGGCCACACTTATGAAAAATAAAGCCAGGGTTAGAAAATAAAATTCCTACCTGCATATTAAAATTACAAGACTTAGTTTTTCTGAACACAAATCAGCTTGGGAAGCGTTAGCCTCCAGAATAACATAATAATATTATAATAAATATACATTAATTGAAAGATTAAAATGATTAAAATCCCTCCTACTACAGAAAATAAATGAAACTAACCATGCTCATATATACCAAAAAATATCCTTGGACACCAACTATTCATGTCTCCCCTTGCCCCCCAATAAACTTCTCCATTTCTGTAAGATTGCCCCAGCCTGATTGCCAATTTTATTTTCTTAATCTAAGTTCTATTCTCATTACCCTTCCATTTCTATTTTTTATCCTCAGGGAAAGAGAGAGCAGTTACTGCCAGGGTATTCTCACATCTTCCAAAGAAATGGCATAGGTGTTAATCTTGTATTTATGTTTGATGTGGGTAATGATGGCTATGACTGGAGTTGTAGGTTTATTAATATGCAGGGCTCTCACCTCATTAGTGGCGATGTATGTTTTGAAGTTAAGCTGCAATGTTTGCTGTAATGTCAGAGCTGGCCTAACAGACTTTCTCACTGTTCATTTTCTTTGTTTTTACCCAGTCAATACATGTTATGTTCACAGAGCTCACACATGTGCTTTTTAATAAAAACGAATCTCCACAATAGGAAATCTTGTTGGGTCTTTCAAACATTTTAAATAACTATCTTTTTATGGATATCACATACTTATCTCTCAGAGAAAATATTTTAATAATTTTGGCCAGGTGATATGAAGTATAATAAACTCTTTCCCTTGCTTATTTGGGCATGGGTATACCCATTAACTGGGTAAAGTGATATTCATAGTTATTATATAATAAAAATATACCTGCATAATTAGTATTTGATAGCATATACTCACACATATATTTTCCAACCAAATTTTTTAAAAGAACAAAATAAATGTTAAATGTGATTGAATATAATGATATATTACATATTATATAAATGTTAAATGTGATTGAATATAATGACTCATTAGAAACAGCAACTGTTATACTTCAAATTTGAAAAAACTATCCAGTTAATATACAACACTATGAAATACACTAACTGGGAGCAGGTGAGCATGATGGTTTGCCACTGCTTACTGCTCGGATTTCATTGTACCCTACAGTGCCCTCTGGATACGTACTGTAGGAAAGTCTCCTGATTTTAACAGCTTGTTTGGAAGTAACAAACTATGTTTTACAAATTCCACAATGTAGTACATATACACACATTTACAGAGAAAATTTAGAACTTCTGTATTCTAAGGAAGCCATTTACATGTAAGAAATAGTTTGTTCTCTTTTCTCATTAGGTCACTGAATATCTTTGTTTTGTACCCTTTTAAAAATTTGTGTTTATAAGTATAAGACCTTGGTTTTAGGGGCAACACTTTGTAAGGAAAGAAAATCATGATCAGAGGAAAATGATATTTAGACCAAGACAAAGGAGAAAGAGGCTTAGATCACTCACAAGTATTTCTCGTTCACTGTCTTCTTTTCAGTATTTTCACTTTGATTTGACAATGTGACACATATTCAGCTAGAATTCCTATCATCGTTCATTTAGAGATGCAAAAATGAGTGTATGTGCTTTTAAGAAGGTACAGCAATGAGCTTATAGCAAAAGTGTATAAACAAGTATATTACCTATTTAATTGCCTTAGCTGAACTTAAAAGCTCTGATCTTTAATTGCCTGATTGAACTGATCTAAAAAGCTACAATTTTTTAATCAAGGAGAAAATTAAATAGCTTTTTGGTAAATAAAAAGGTATCTTTAATCTTATTTTTATGGAATCCAAGTTATTAAATATGGACAAAACCTCTGAAATATTAAGTTAACAACTACTCAATCTAGAGTCAATTTCTCATTACAATGCTTTACAAAAGTCTCCAGGGACATCTGCTTTTTTCTGCACTTCAATAAAAGCACATGCTTTTAAATCCAGAAGGTACAAGTTTCCATGAAACTCTAAAAATAAACTATAAATATACTTAATGGGACGTATTACCACAGCATCTTATTTTTATAATTGATAATCCATAATTACTGGGGAATACCATCATCTGCACTGAAATTCATTAGTTTTCCCATCCACTCACTGGTATATATTTAAACTACTCAGAATTCTCAACTATAACCAAATAATTTAGAAACAGGAAACACTAAAGGTATATCTACTTATCAGCATCCTGACTTTAAAAAAGAAAAAGAAACACGACCGTAGAGAGACTAGATCCCATTTTCCTATCCACTATTGCTTGTGGTGCTACAAGGAAGCTGCCCAGAAAGTTCTGGCAGGTGAGAATTAGGCTACGTGCCCACAGGACAGCAGGGTGTTAAGGCTCTCACCTTTAAAAAGTAACATCCACCATTTTCATGGCAAGACTCTGTTTTGTTATGCTTGTTTTTGTCTTTCATTTTACTTATTTTTTGAGGTAACGCTGACTTACAACATCGCTGCCTCAGGTGCTGTGACCACCACAGAGCAGCCCACCACCAAAACACCCACATGCACCACCACTCCCTCCCCACATGGCAAGGCTCTCTGAGTGAAGGCTTCGCTACTGCGAACTGACCTGACCTTCCTTAAGTACCTTTGTCAAACAGATAGCAAATATTCATAAGAATCAATAAACTGACAAGAACTGACCGCTTTACCAATGCCATTAAAACTGGTATAACCACTTAGTGGGTTGGTGAATGTGGGGAATTGGGAGTACAAAGAATAGAAGCATGTAAGTTACACTAAGTTAATCTTGGTCATAAAAAATATTTCCTTTTTTTTGGTCACCTCAAATGCTTATTTATTCCAGGAAAAGTAATACTAACAGCTCAGATCACTTTCTTACATACATATTTTGCAATAACTATCCTCTAGAAGTAGAACAGAGGGACTTGGTTTATTTAATCTACATAATACCTTCAAGAATTGAAATGATATTTTTACCTGTCAAGCTCTACATATCCCTTTCAAAAGAGGGTGGATTTAAGATGAATTTAGGAGCAACAGGATGTTAGAATTATCACAACAAAAACAACCAAAAAAAAAAAAACCGACAGATGTGATATAAGTGAAGATTTGGTTGTTTTAACTTTCATAGTTACACCTTAAAAAAAACCTTTTTTTGCCTTTAATCACATCCAGTGTGCATGCTGTTACATTCTCCAAATGTGCATCAAGCCAGAATGAGCAGATGTATAAAATTAAACAGTACAGTTAGTAGCATTAGATGCCTAAGTTGCTTTTGTTATAGCTGTTTCTCACTTAATTTGCTTCAAATGAATTCAGACATTTCAGAATATTAAAAAAAGCGAAGGGAGGTTCCTTTTACAACATTCAACAGTTACATGATTATCCTCTCATGCATTATGTTAATAGACTGGGAGACTAATTTCTGATGCTTTCTTTAATTCCTTATTTAAAGTTCCACTTTCAAGATATGTGAAATGACTTCTTAAGGAATAGTGTATGATGATTTCTGATATGTTAACAAAAACAGCAGATGGAATTGCATAGAAAATGAAGGGTTTGCATTAACTAGATATAAGTAAGGAAAGTAAGATCCTATCATTTGCAAACACTATGAATTAACTCTATACATGTCTGGTAAGCATAATTACAAAAATAAGGATCAAGTGTATAACTTAAGAAAACTAATATTTATAAAGCAGTCATCTTTTTATTACCAAATATACCAGTTTACTTACTTATATATCCTATTATTTATTCACCTTGGAGAACATTCAGCCCCCACCACAAATTAAGTCATAACTTGAAAGTCTAGTACCTACCTCTATGTAAAATCTTTAAACTCCACAAATAGGTAAGGCCTTTAACAACCTAAATTTGAGAGAGAAAAAAAATGATTGTTTTAGAGGGAACTATCCATACTTAAACATATGCTCATGTTGAGCAAAATTCTTCCTTAAAACATTTGTTAAGTGATAGCATTTACTGCACAGCTACAATTTCTGGGTCAGGCTCCATAGGGACACTGACTGCAGAAACTAAATGCTCCTTTACTTTACTGAGCAGACAATATTCTGAAGATAAGGTATGATGAATGAAAGAAATAAGTCTATGTACATATAAAATGGTCTGGAAGTACACAGTGAGTTCTTAGTGGTGCTGTGGGAGGGAGGAGAGGACAGAAAAAAAAAAAAGAGGGAAAGACTAATACCTTTCATTTTCTATACTTCTGTATGTGAAAAAAAAAAAAAAGGGATGGGGGAGGGTGTAAGCCTTGATATCTATAGCCATGGAAAGACTTTTTTGAAGTGTTAACTAATGAAGTAAGGCAGCAGGTAGAGCACACACGGCTTCTCCTTCTGGTAGTCAGGAAGGCATCAAGGTTCTCCAGGAATGTTTTCAACAGATACAAACATAAAAGAATATTCAGACCAAGATAAAATGTGTAATGAAAGTATTGGATCAGGGAACTCTTAAAAAATATAAAGGTCATGAAAGACAATGAAATACTGAGATTATCCTGAGAGTCTGAAGAGACATTGCCAATTAAATGTAAAATGTCTAGTTCTAGACTGGATGTTGGACCAGAATATTTTTCTTTTGCTCAATAAAGAATGTTATTGGACAAGTGGAAAATTTACATAAGGATTACTGATTAGCTAATAATATCAATCTTCTGATTTTGATCATTATATAATGATGATAAAAGAGAGTATCCTTGTTCTTAGGAAATATATACCCAAAGTATTTTAAGTATAAAGAGTGGTAATGTCTATAGTTTATTTTCAAATCCTTCAGGAAAAAATGTGTGTGTGTGTGTGTGTAAATAAATTACTGTAACAACTGGTGAATCTGGGAGAAGCATCTATAAGAATTCTTTGTATTATTTTCAAAATTTTTATATAAGTTTAAAATAACTTTAAAGTAAAAAGTTTCCTCAAAAGTGTTTTAAATGATATTGGGATAAGCAAGAAGAATAACAGGATTTGTAAGAAAACAACAAAGAGTATCAAGATGATACACTATTAATGAATGTGTAGAGCCATGTAGACATTAAAGGGCCACTCAAGGAAATAAAGTGAGAAAATACAAATGTCTTAATTAGATTAAGATTTTTCAATTTAAGAGCCTGAGTTAAGAATAACTAGTGAAATAACATACAGAAAAAGAAGGTTTCCAAGACCTTAAGCATATGGGTTATAAGTGTTACCTGCTATGTGGGAAATTTAATCAAAAACTGCCATTAGCAACTTTAAAAATGCTTATTTCAAAACTATTGTAAAAGAAATACATATTTTACTCCACACCCACTGATTCTGTATGCACACTAATATGAACTTACTAATTTAAGGCTGATTATTGATGAATAGGTATCAGATACAACAAATGTATCAGACACAATAAATGAACTACGATTGCTTAAAATTTACCACACGTACCCACTCCTATAGAAAATTTAAATGAATCATGAACCATTATGAGAAGCAACTGAATGATTTACATATCCTGAAAATGATGAAAAGTGGGGGGCTTAGTGTGCAAGGATTTTAGGTGATCAAGAAAGCTTAAGCTCAATATTAAAAACAGAAATGCAAAGAAAAAAACAATTTCTAAATTCTAAAGATCTAGAAGATAAAATCTGTATCAATTAATGCTGAACAGAAGTTAAAGTGTTTTAATTGTTCTCACAGAATGAAATATATTCCTGAAAGATTTGCTAGCACAGTATGATCAATTCCACAAAGTTTTTTTTTTTTAAATAGAAAATGATTTCTTCCTGGGTTTAGAACAAGTAGGCATTATAATAAAATACCTGTCCTGAACAGTAAGACAGTTAGAAACAAAATGTTAATAACTTTTCTACAGAAGGAATAAGGCAAAATCATTTCTTTAAATCCTTACAAAAAATAACATCAATAATGGGAACAAATTGCTCTTTGACTTGCTGGACAAGGTCACCTTCTTCAACATATAAGTGGTCACCTTCTGAATCTGGAATTAAGATTCAACTTCTTAAATTACAAACATAGCTGCCTATTATAAAACCTTCCCACTAAAGAGACTTGGTTTAAATTCTAAACTAAAAATTGGTCCCACAGAAAATGACCAATAGAAAACACACAAAAGTAAGGCAGCCCATAATATTCAGTCTATGTGGATAAAAAAATAAAACAAATGATTTCATGATACTTGTGAAAATTATGAATTTTGTCAGAGATTCAAAAGGAACATTATTTCAAACTGTGTCAAAACAGATGACATTTTCCTTTAGAAGCATATAAGCATCAATGTACAAGGGAACAAGAAACCTGTCCAAAGAAAATCTAGAGGGTATTATTGGCATTCAGTATACCAGGCTTCACAAATGACGTGACAAAGCCTTGACACTAAAAGTACTTATATCTGCTGTCAATCACTGGCTCCTTGACATGTCAAGTGCGCATCCTTTCAGGGACAGCTTCAATCAACATTAGCACTCAAAATACAGCACACTGTGTCACTGCTTCAGAAACGACAGGAAAAATAAAATGCATTAGGTGCCTGGGAGAGGAAGAAAGGCATTACTCTTTGTAAGAAACCAGATTCAAATGGAAAGTGGATGAAAATCACTGAGCAAGTTGAAACAGTGAAGTCAGGTGTTTATACGGCTTTTTCAGGGAAAAATATTCCTTTGCCTTACAATCTACACGAGAAAAAAAATCTATGTACCATAAAGGCTGACAGGAGTCCATCCTGTAACTAATGTGGGATCTTTAGACCTGAGTAACATGCCAGATTATTAGAACCTGGCAAACAAAGTTAATTTGGGAAGGGAGAGATGCCTTGACGTAACTCTAACACAGAAAAGGAACCTGAAGCTATGTATGTGTGATTCCATTAACCTCTCCCTGACACTTCTGTTTTTTTTAAACCTTATTTTCCCTTTCACTCCTGCCTCTTTTCCTCTCACAAAAGCAGTGAAATAGCATGGCATTTGGAGTGACACAATCCTGGGTTCAAATTACTTCTGACTAGTTATATGATAACTAGTTATATAATAGGCAACTTAATCCGACTTTTCGAAACATCACCTTGCACATTTATGAAATACATTTCAATAGAGTTGTAAAGAATGAGTGACATGCATTTGTAGGTAAAGCATCTATTAGTGATTGGCACATGCAAGCATTTAATAAGCACCTCTTTCTTCTTCTGAGTCTGTGGTGTTTGACTTGGCAGTAGCACCCATGCACATTCTTGTCTTTATGGATGGAAATCAAAGGTGTGATGCTGACTTTAGAACACTAAAGGAGGTATATCTCAACCAGGCTGAGGTGAGAACACTGATTTTATAAAGCATCACCTACAACCCATCATTTGAGTAGTCTTATTTTGATTGGTACAATCCTACTGATGTTTGCTAGTTGTAATCAAGGATTATTCAAGTTTGCAGCTTATTTAAATTTCATTAAAAAACATACTTTGGAGACATGACATAAGCTTACATCCCATCACAGATAATAAAAAATGGCAGGTGATGAACAAAATTATCAAAAGATTTTCTTCTATTCTGGCTATAGGTAATTTTCAATTACTATGACCTGATGAGCCATTTAAGTGGGAGAAATTGAACACATTTTAGAGAAAAAAAACCCAAAAACCTAATTTAAAAAAAGTAAAATTTTATTGACTTCCCATTGACAATATTTTGGGAGTACAGCGCCACACCTCTGTATGTGCACAAGCCTCCTCTAACCCCCCACAGAAGTTCTGGTCCCTTCCCCACCCTCAGACTGGGGCTCTCTACCCTTTTCTCCTACCACCTCCCCGCTCCCAGTCTAGTGAATGACAATCATATTTTTTGTCTCAGAGTTAGTTTTGCTGTGACTTGTTAGTTAAAGAAAGATCCTGATTCTTAAGAAACACAAGGGTAAATATAAGCAATACTTTAGGCTTGTACTTATTTTAAATGCCATTTCCTAAAATAATTTTGTCAATTTCAATTACTCAGTAGGAAAGCTCTATATTGAAGCCAGATTTATTTATTTTTATTTTTTCATTTTTCGCTGACTCCATTCACATCACAGGCTTTCCACTGCAGTAGCATTGAAAAAACCAGTGGCCTTGTGTGGATGCCCTGCACCAGAGAGATGAGAGATTTATGATGTCCAAGAAGAACACGCTTCTTACTGAAGGCAGCTGCCAATTTTAGCCAAGTTCAACAGATAATGAGTATATATAACTTGTATACTTTTTTTCTTTTTGAATTGGTATCCTTGCCTTTTTTCGCCCTTTATTATACGTGTTATTAAACTTTAGAGCTAAGAACTGCCAAAAGCCACAAAGCATTCATTTCCCCTGAGATTAAAAGAGGAAATGAAACATTTTTATTTTCAGCTAAAATAGTGATTTAAGTACTCAAATTTCATACTAAACTAATCTACCTCAACATGTAGATTAGAAGCTACTTAGCAGCAATAGCATCAGAAAGAAAGCTCTCATCACCCTGGGCAGTTCACACTAATAATTAGAAAGAAAAAAGGAAAGCTGTGAATTACAATGAACTAAGACTAAATAAGTGTCCATATTGGATTAAAGGATTTGAGTTGTCAGTTTGATGTATAATGAATGCGAAAACCAGCCATTTAATTAAATGGTACATGGTACAATCACTTTGTTCTACATTAAACTACATAAGTTATCAGAGAGCCTTTAGTTTAGCAATTGTTTACTATTACACCGCCCCATGACTTCTCTTAGTCACTGTTTAGCCTTGTTATTCCAAATCTAAAATCTAGAACTAATATTAGTTTAGTTGATATATTTCATCAGTTTATTTTTGAATACAGAAAATGGGAAAATGGCTTTTAACTACAAAGGGAATAAATTCCTAGATGTAGATGGTAAAAAATTTTAAAGCCAAGAACATAAAGTCTTCAAAACCTCAGAATAAAGTACAATTTTCTTACTGTTTTATTTTAATAACTTAGACTTGAAAGGTATAATACTGTTTTATTTTAATAACTTAGACTTGAAAGGTATTTTCGAATTATGTCAGTAACTACAAAATGTTCAAAAACAGTTTCCTTTACAAAAAAACTGTAGGACCAAGGCTTCTACAGATACAAGAAACTTGAAAAATTCAGTCCTCTGAATTTTTCCAGGTCTGAGGATGTCATGTGATTATGTCATTACAAAAGGCTTGTCTATGGAAGGAAGAAAGGGATAAAAATAAGCAGGAAAAAAAAAAAAGAGCTAAAAAGACATTGCAGTCAACAGGGTTTGAAAAAAAATTTTTGAGAATACCTGATTAAAAAGATTTAATAACCCAAGTTTCTTAGGATCAAAAATCGTACTCACTGCTACTGCAATTCTTCCAAGGACGTGCTCTGGAATTTTTCTATACACATCCAAAGAGCCCCCTGTGAAGACAAACATGTTCTGTTACTACCAATGAAACTACTAGAACAGCCCCTGGATGTCTTCTCTGTGCATTTATTATGAAATATTTTCTCTATTCTTACATCATGAACTGTGTAGGAGAAAATTCGATTTTAGTTCAATTTTATTTATGATCTAGCTGTACTTTCAAGTTAAACATAACTAGGTTTTTTACTCCCAACTGCATAATCAGCCATATGTAAAAAAGGAAGGAAAAAACAGGTCAAAGTAGGCTGAGAATCTGCACTAAATATAAACTTAAATACACATACAGAACTATATGTATGTCATAGCAATGTGACAACCATATTCAGGTGTTTATCTTGTATAAAAGTTTCTCAAACATAAACCAGGACTCTATCTTAGAATTTTTACATTAACTAAACAAA